GTGGCCGGCTTTCGCAGGTGTATTGTTAACGTAGGCCACAAGGTCACAGGGGATCTGTTCCGACTACTCTCACCAGGACAAAGTCATCGACCTACAGAAGGTAATGAAGATATCTGTCGAATATCTTGAGCTGCTCCCTCTATGATCAGACGTTTGTTTTTGACAGGGTCAGCACTATTTCACAGCAATAAGTCAAGAACAGTGCGTAAGCTCTTCTCATTGATGAGCATCACTGTTGATGGGAAACCACTCAGATAACGTTCCTTCCATTTTGGGAGCCTACATGGTCCCTGCAAGCATTTCCTCCACAGTGGAAACGGTGTGATCAGGTATTCCATAGTTTTTTTTAAGATTCTCCACATCATTTGACAACGTAATGAATCAAGCGCAGCTCTAAAGTCGAAGAAACTGACAACTCAAAAAACTGAAATTGTCAGCATTGCTCAATAATCACATGAAGAGTGAAAATTTGTTCAGGAAATGACTACCACTTCCGGGACCAGTGGAGAAACTGCCTTATAAAAGGTTTATTTAATTCAATAAACGTCTGATGATACTGCCAGTAGTCAGTTGTCGATAGGGGAGGTTGCGGAAGAATTATTACAGATCAATGCCAATAACTGCGTGCCATACTGAATGCTATTAAAAACGACAGTAAATGAAAAAATATCATTTATGATTAGGCCACGAATCGAATGGCCGCAAATCGTCTGAAAGCTGAAAGGGAAGAAAAAATAATAAAGTAAAACTTTAATTGTTTTCACAAATCGTGAATAACGATGCTACATTAACGACAATATGCTACAACACATCACACAACGGTTTCAACGGTTCAAACCTTCATCTCAGTCGTCATCACTTATAGCTGTTGGTTTCTTGTGAAGCATCTCAGCCAGAATTGGTCGAGCATCGTGTAAAGGTGCTCTCGACTCTGCGTGAGATGATGTGCTTCATTTGGGTAAATCTAAGCGACAAAAGTTGTGATTGTCATAAAACTCATTTGTAATAGCTACCATCAGCTGAAACTGGGTGTTCGACTTAGTCAAGGCATTGATCAGCATGGCTGTGTTTTGGAAATGCACGTTTTCTAAAACATTACAATTCTAGCAGAAATAATTGGGTTACATCCCCGTTAATTAAGATATTTAATTTCATAAGTAATTGAGTAATAAAAAAATAATAATAATGGCAACCAGAAAAAGAAATTAGCAAGATAAAAAGTAGAAGGAGACAACTTCATTCAACGCCAGCACTATCTACGCGAAAATCTTAGGACGATCAGGTGAAAACGTGGGATACTGCTGGTTTTCAGATCCATTAAGGAGCCAGATGATGCAGGTAAAAACCATCTACGGCCTACCTCGCGAGTGCGGGCTAAATTTCGCGGTGGAAACGGGCAACACCGCAGAAAGCATGAAGTCGGAGTACCTCAGTAACCTAGCAAATTAACGTAGCGCTGATCTGCATGAGAATTATCAGGCATAGAAAGGAAACGGGCGTAGACAAACGGAAGATCAGCAGGTAGTGGAGGCATGCTAAAAGAACTTAGCATTTGTGAAACTCGTACAGGAACGAAACCGCACATCCTGAGACCCAACGAAAAAAGTACATCGATAGAAGAACTTTTAATGCTGAAAATAAAGGAAACCCTAGTGACTTTATGGAACCGCTGAACGAATTGAGTCTCTGTTGTTGAACTTAGTTTCCGCTGAAACGAACGTATGAAACTTTTGAAGGTCTAGATGGAGCAAAGAGCAAAAAGCTGTTGAATATTTGAATTTATGAGAATTTTCTGGGTTTTCATTGGAACACAGTATTTCGATGATAATATGAGAAACGTACGATGTTGCCCTTCGCAGTTTTTACCCAAGGACGGAAGGTCCCTTATTTTTTGCAAAGGGCCAACGATTTTCAATAGCAGGTGGTTCCTTCTTGATCGTTCGCTAATATATGAATCAGTTCTTAGAAAAATATGGTTCCTTCCTGGTAGTACGCTAATGGAACAGTCAGCCTGCAAATTATGACCGTTTCCATTTGGTTGTATTGTTGACATAGCAGCAGCACCGAAATGCGGAACCTAACGTGAGCTCTAGGCATCGGGCGGGAAAAACATGGCACGAGCAGAACTGGTTCTTGATTATCGGCTAGATGGTTCCAGAGAGAA